TTTGCACAGAAGTACACTGTAGTGCTTTTTGAAGGGAAACAAACAATAGCCACTGATTACAGAAGCTTAATATAGCCAAATAATGAAGCATGGAATTTTTTGTTAGAAAATAGCAGAAACTTGACCTTCTCTCAGTATGTGCAGGCAGCTCAAATTTACCTGTTATTACACTTCCTCAGTATTAGCATTTCTACAGAAAGGATGTAAGTAAAAATCATTGCCTAATCACTAATATTCCAGGAGAGTTCTGAACACACTCAGCAATTCTGAGCAAATTAATGGTGGCCATCATCAATCCCAGACTCTGTATTTGTTCAAACTGGAAAGGCATGCTTACACAAAATCTTAAAACAAAATCACTGTATAAATCAAGTATTGCCAACTGAAAATACAGTCTAAAATTAAGTATGCTGCTTATTTACATAATGCAGTGTTTCCTGTCATGATCATGGGATATGTAGTCCAAAGTGTGTCATGAATATGGGATATGTAGTCCGAAGTGTGTCATGGTGATGGGATATGTAATCAAAAGTGTGTCGTAGTGATGGGATATGTAGTCAGAAAAATGTAAAATGGAGGCAGATGGGATCTGTGTAAGGAAGATTTGAGAGACTTTGAAATGTGTTTTTCTAAGCACTATGGGAGTGCTTTCCTGAAGACCACTACACCCAGCATGCTGATCACATGAAGGCCAAATCAAGGAGGCATGGCAGAATCAACATTCCAAACTTGTTATGGAAGACATAAGCAACATCTGCACTCCCATGGGAATTAGAGGAGGAGAGAGGTGGTACAACCTCTTAAGTTTAATTTGTTAACAGCCAGATGAGCCATGAAGAAGGGAGGAGTTTGGGAAAGTAGAAAATGGACGATGAGTTGTGTGAATTGTGTTCAATGGTTTGTGTTGTTCTGATGATGGATTTCTATTCCATGATGATGGGAGAGAAAGGACTTGATTGAAAAAGGATGTAAGTAAGGAGAAAGAAGGAGGTGGGGCTAACCCACCATAGCCTAGCCTAGATTAGCTTTTGGAGTTCATTATTTTAAATGGGAAATACTGTAGTTATTTTATTTAACTGCAATGATCTTTGAATATGTTCTTGAAGGCTAAAATATTTAAAATATAAACTTATTTCTAATGAATCTTTATTTTTCTAATAAAAATATTATTAAAAATCCTTATTGAGGACTGGTCTCTTGAACAGCAGGGTCTGGCTAAATCTAGGAAGTGGAGAGGGCCATAAACTAGCTATCATTCAAGAGTCCTACCTAACTGAGTTGTTGTGAGTTCTAAGGAATCACAATGCCCCTGTGCCTGTACTTGCAAAGTACTGAGTAAGTGTGAAGTGTTCTTTTTAGGTCAAACTTGTTCAAAGGCCTTATGCTACGCACTGCTGAGGTCTAAGGACTCGACCCAGTGCAAAGCTGGTAGCTAAGTGCCGGTCAAACTCTCTGGCTGAATGCCCAATGACCCTTTAGGGGGCAGTGAGCATCACATATCCCAGTCATGGGGAACCCACGTGTTCTTGGGTTGCAATTGCCAGAAGCCTTCACCACCAGCTGTGTTGCCCAGGGTCTATGGGAATTACCTGGGTTATCCAAGATTGGGAGCCACTGATCTAAAGTATAATGGATCAGGAATATTGTGTTTCTTTTATTAGATCTCACAAATTGGGTTAATTTACCATATTACCAATTCATCTATCAAAATCACTAAAACCTTATTAACTCACTACATACTCAGGCCACATACTCAGCCTTGACAACCTGGTTAGAGTGCCTAGCTCCTGCCCCCCTGCATTGCTACTTTTACCCCCATGAAGAACAATCTCTGAAGAGAAGGTGATTGTTGCTTGGCTGTAGACTCTACACACAAACAAGACCCATGGAAAACTGGAGTTCTTGCTTGAGTGAAGAGCCTATACACAAGCATGAACATCTCTTTTTCAGGCACATTATTCTCCACAGGGAGAAAACAATGATGGAAAGAGGAGGAAAAAGAGTCATTCATACTTTAGCATTGTAAGCCACAGTTAGAACAGGCCCATTTGAATCAACAGAACTTATTAAGATGACTCACTAAATACCTGATTCAATGAGCCTACTCTAGTGAGACTAACTGCACTATGCTATAAGATTTGGGTCAGTATGTACTAATCAGCATCCAAGGAAGAAACAGGGTACCTTCAGAGTAGCCTTATTCAGAATATGCTTGAGTGACTGAAGCATGTAATGAACTTACTTTAAAAGTTTAAGAATATTCCCTAAAAACACTGTTCTAGAAAAACCAATCATCAACCACTTCCGGGTCTTTATGGATCTGCATTTTCTCCCACAAATTACAGGCACTTGACAGTATTAGCTATCATTTTTCCTGAACTCACATCAACATCCCCATATCCTGTTTCTCAAAGATCATCAAACCTTTCTTGATCTGTTCCCTTCAAAAGACACTCATCAAAAATAACTTTCCCTACTGACCAATACCCTCTCAACATACATAGGTCTCTATCAATGCTTCCTTTTCAACCAAAGAAAATGCCTTCAGTCCAAATGATCAGGAAGTCTTTCTGAAACCATCTATGATCATAGAATCGTGGAGTTGGAAGAGGCCTATAAGACCATCAAGTCCGACCCCCTTATCAAAGGATATCTGTCAGGTACTTGTCTAAGTTTCTCTTAAATGCCTCCACTCAATAGGACTACTCAATAGGAAGCCTTGTGGCACCTTGAAGGCAAGCATATCTGTTACAAGATCAGATGCACAAAGTGTCATCCTCAGCTGTCAAATGATGTGCATACTTAGCTATGGAAGGGAGAGTGGAAGAGGATCAAACAGCAACAAAATACAAAATACAAAAAGCCATGTTTGTGACAATTCTATGCCAAGGCTAAAAGAAGCAAAATCTCCCTTCACAATAAGAGGAAAGAAAAATAGAGGCCATGTTTTACCTATGATATTTCCAGCTATCCTTCACTGCTATAAGGCGCTGTGAAGTTACTTGGCATCTTTCTAACCTGGAGCTTCCTTTGTAACTGTCTCACTTAAACCAAGTCTACCAGCTGATTAGGTCTTCTAAATAATTCCCTTCAGAGACCCTAAGAGTAAACACTTTCTTTAACCCCTCACCATGAATGAACCTTTCAGAAGCCTCTTCCCTTTGCCTCAGCGTATTAGGCACCTATCCATCCAACTAGAGAGATCTCCAGCTCTTAAGAGGAAGGGAAAGGGAAAGAGAAGAAAGGAGTGCGAATTGACAAATGGGGAGGACCCTCTACTCGTTTCGGGTCCTCTGGACAAGGCAGAAGGATTATACATACGAATTCGAGAGCAGAAACTCAAACAGGGACCCTCGCCCCTGGTGAGGCTCTCTCTCTTCCCCCCCTCCCCCATTACCTGTAGGCAGGAGGCCAGGCCCCGAGGCGTCGGCTGGAGGCGGCGGTGGCGGCGGGGCTTGGCTCACTGGGATGAAGGGAACCGTGAAATTGAACTCGGTGGCTGACGAAGAAAAGAGCAAGTTCGTGCTGCCACTCGCAGCGGACGTGGTGCCAGCCAGCGAGCCTCTCGGGGCAGCCATGATTGTACCGCGTCCACGTCTCCGTCTCGGCTGTCCCTCACAGAATCCTGCCCCTTCCGCCCGGCTCTAAGATGGCGCCACGGGAGTCACGGGTCTCCTCCCATCTCTCCCGCCAACGCGAGCCCGCGCTGAGGAGGAAGAAGTGAAGTGAGAAGAGGAGAAAGAAGAAGGAGGAGGAGGAGGAGAGCCCGCTTCGGCCTGGCCTGCGCCTCTGTCACCGCCGCCCAAAACGTCCCCGCCACCATTCGCCTTCCTTTTCTAAGTGCCCTTGCCAGCCGGGGCGTGCCTGTAAGCCGACCTCCGAAGACCCCCGTGTGTGCCTCCCGGCCTAGGACCCCGAAGAACCGAGAAAGATGCCGTGCGTAGCGGACTGGCTGAAC